ATTTATGCATTTGAAATTACAAACTGGTTTCACATATTTTGGTACTTCCTACAATCACAACATGACAGATCAAAGTTTGAATCATAACTAACAATGTAAAATTAATCACAGTGTTTCCTATAAAGGTATCACCTACTGAAAGCACACGAGGTGAAGTCCAGGAGAAATAGACTCCGAAAAGAAGCTCTCCACCCCCCCCCCCCCTCCTCGCGCGGAGTTCGCGGGGTGGGAGAGCGGGAGCGGAACGACACGACCGCCGCCGGGCCGCTCAGCGCCAGCCGCCGCCGCGCCGCACGCCGCCGCCCGCCCAGCCGCCAGTCGGTGCTCGCAGCTCGTCGTGTCGTGGCGCGTGTTCTATCGCAGTCCGCCCCTGCCGTGTACATCACGTCCGCGTGTCCGTTGACGTGCGCGAGTCCGCGCGCGCTTGTGCCGTGTGTCTGTGTGTCTGTGTGTGCGCGCGCGCGCTTGTGCGCGAGTGTGCTTGTCTATCTGACGGCATGTGAGGAGATGTCGTGAAGACCCCCCTGGCCCAGCTCCACACCATGCCTGCTACGGGAGAAGTGCAGCCGCAGCCCCGGGTCGAGTTTGACCTAGGCAGCACAGTGGACCTCGGCGACTCCATGGGGACGTACTTCAAGTCGTCGTTCGCCAAGTCCATGGCGCTGAGCTCGGAGCAGCAGAGCAAGTCCCTGGACTGCTCGGCCCTGAACGCTGCCCTGCGCGCGCGCGCCGACATGGAGTTTGGTTTAGCCGTCGCGCGCGGCAGGGACCCGGGGCTGGTGGACCCGGAGAGCACCGTCAAGGTGCGCCGGGACAGCTGCATCCCCCGGGGTGGACCCCAGGCCCTGCAGGACGGCCAGCCACAGCGCGCCACCCCGCAGCGCGACAGGACCAGGACCAAGGAGGTTAGTACATACTGTGGTGTCACCCTGGCGGCCGCCCCCGCCCCCCGCACCTGGCACGTTTGGGCCCGTCGCGGGCCGCCCCAACACTTGTCACACCGCTCGGCACTGGACCGGACGTGCCCGATATGATGCGCTGGCCTTGGCAGCCTTGGTGTCCTCAAAGCCCCCCCCCCCCCTTCTCCGCCCGACTCTTCTGCTTCCCAGAACCGGGAGGTCGCTCGGGCCGTAGCGGGCTGCTGCTGCTGCTGCTGGACCTCCTGCCTGCTTGCCCGTGGTTTCCAGTTCCAGTATGGGAAACGCTCACTTGACATGAGAGTTGTGTCGCCGTTCTTGTTCTTCGAGGAACTGCGACGGGAATAGCTTTGCTGGGCTGCCAGGGCATGCGCTGTGCGGCCCGACGCGAACTCAGTTTGGAGATGTCAACCCGCAACGTTTCCTATACCATCGCCTAGGCCTAGATTGTCACGCATGACCCGCGTACGACCTCGGACTCCGAAGAACGAACGACAGGTTGTCGGGTCCTTGTGCATACCCATGCTTATGTGGGACGTGGTGCACGCGCGCGGGGGCCCTCCTGTGTCGCACCCTGGTGCCACCGGCGCGGTGGGGGCGGGGGGCGGACGGGCGGGGCGACCCGACTGGAGGGACAGGTGCGTTCCCCGATAAGAGGCGGTGGCGATAAGAACGCTAACGAGACGGGACAGGAGAGGCCCTCCACTCCCTCAACCTTCGGAGCTTAGCGGACAGGTCAGAAGCTCGAACGTTCGCAGTTGTCCTTAAACGGCTTTTGCGAAAGTGTTGAATTTTTGACACGTTGTTGTATGTATTTGTCGACATGTACAAAGTTATACTCGGTTCCTAGCTCTTCGAGTACTTTAGCGTGTTTGGTACATCTGAGGGAGGACGACGGATGTTGACTTTCGGAGAACATTCCGCAGCGCGTCGGTGCGCGGGTCGGCGACACACATGAAGCATTGAGATGGAAAGTCATGGCAGCGCGATGTGCATAGCAACAGCTGCTGGGCTGGGCTGGGGTCCGCGCTTTGTGTTCAAGGACGTCGGACCACCCCTCCCCCCAGCCCATCCGACTCTGCTCGGTGGCCGAGCAGGTCAGCAACCCCCGCGAGCTGCCGACATCTCCCAACTTCATCGCAAACACACAGCTCGTTGTTGTAAGTACACAGCATGTACTTACATTCACGGTAGGGTCTGCATTGGGCCGACACCACATTTCGTACCTGGGACGGGAGGCTGGCGAGGAGTTACTGGATTAGCAGAGACAGGACTGCGAGCTCGAGACGAGAGAGAATAAGCGGCCCCAGGCCCCGGCCCGGCTCAGGAACGGCGCCCTGTGAGGCAGTGGCGCCAGAGCGCGGCCCGTGATCGGTGAACGGAAACTCGGTATTATTAGAGCGTTATCGGCTGCCATCGAGCGGCACCCCGCTCGTGATAAGCCGCCGAGCTCAACCCGAGTAATTGTCATAATGTAATCGCTTTCCCGTTCCGGCCTGAGTCGGGAGTGTCGGGGCGGCAGGGGGCGACGTCGCGAAGTGGAAGGGCCCCGAGCCCTGCTCTGCTGCCGGCCGTGGCCCTCGCGCGCGTGGACGCGACGGGGTGGCATTACCATATGGCCGCGCGCCGCACCCGGACCCTTATTCCCACGAGATGTAGAGCATTGAGTGCACCCGACTCCGGGCCTCCTCCGGGCCTCCTCCGGGCCTCCTCCGGGCCGGGCTCCGGCCTCCGGGCCTCCTCCGGGCCTCCTCCGGGCCTCCTCCGGGCCTCCTCCGGGCCTCCTCCGGGCCTCCTCCGGGCCTCCTCCCGGCCCGGGCTCTCCACACACACACACAACGCGTCGGGCCGAGACCGAGTTCCTGTGGGCCGCCGCGGGCCGCGGGCGCCGCGCCGGGTAACCTTATATCCTTGGGAAGCTGTGTATAAACACCGCGAGTTTCGCGCTTTGACAGGCTGGAGCGGGGCTGGACGATGACTCCCCTAAGAGGAGCGGCCCGTCATGACAAGTGCTTGCCCCGCGCCCCAGTGCAGTGCGCGGTCCAGGGGGGCGGGGGCAGAGGAACAAAGATGACTTATGGAGCCGAGTCTCGTGTATCTTCTGTTCTCGTAGAGGATTTCTCTGCGTCTCCTCTCGGACGCGCCTGGTGTACGGCTGTCAGAAGTATGGTAAACGCCGCAAGTTTGTCGCCGTCCTTTGAGGCGGCCGGGCCGGGTGCGGTGCTGGGGGCGCCGTAACGGGGTGTGTCACCATGGGTGTAGCCGCTACACGGGTGTCACCCGAGCGCTGGCGTCGTGCTGGCAGTCCGGGCCGGCCATCAGCCGTGGACGCACCACATCCATGTCATCATCAGCGGAGAGGGACCATTTGGACTCGTAAAGCGGGCGGGCTCCAGCAGCTGTGGCTGTGTCCAGTCGTAGCCAGCCCGCTTCAACCCCCCCCCCTCTCTCTCTCTCTCTCTCTCTCTCTCCACGCCGCACGTAGTTGCAGTTAGGCCCTTCACGTCGCGGCGGTGATGACCGTTCTATATCCCGAGAGGCCGGGTACAAGACCAGCCGCCCGGCCGGGCCGGGAGTGACCTTACCGAGGTACCTGCAACGGTACCGGCGTACCTTACGCCGGCCGGTGTGCCACTGCGATCGGCCAAAGCTAAAGGAAAATTAGGGTCATTGTGAAAGCTCTCTCGCGGGCTGTCTCTCGTGCGCTGGATGGGCTGGGGATGGGTGTGAAGCTGTGGCGGCGCGGGAAGCGTAAGGAGGAAAACCCGTTCCCAAGTCCGGCATTTGGAACGGCGGCGCCCGGGCAAGGAAAGGGACGAGTTGTTGTAGTGTGATGTGATGATGATGGTGGTGCCAAGGGCTCCGGACACCAGATCCTTCCTATCCGTCTGTCCAGCCGGCTTCTTTTGGCTGAGCGATGGTCTGTATTCGGAGCACGTCGGGCGGGCTGTCTCCCGGACGCGATTTGTTGTGATTGTGGGCAGGCTGCGGCCCCGGTCGGGTCGCGGCCGCGCTCGGGGGCCGGGCGCTAGTTTGTCAGCGGGGAGGTCCGGGGGACCCGCCACGACGGGGGCCTCGCCCGGGGCGCAGATGCTATCAGAGCAGGCCGCCGCGGTGGCCGTGGCGGGGGTCTCGGGGAGGGACCCCGACCAGTAGACGTCAAAAAATGTCCGAGGCCGGGCGGGCAGGGCCACGTCGGGAACACATCAGGTCGAGCCAATCAGCTGCCTGCCCGGAACCTGTTCCCCGAGGCGGGCCAAAACCACACAACTTCAAATTATTGCAGCATACGGCCCCCTCGCTTCATCTTTTAATAATATTTTTTTTCCGCCTCGGAGACGCCACTTTTGGCGGGTTTAACTGCCAGTCAGTCTTTATGGCGCCGTGGGCCCGGGATGATCCGAGACGATAGCATATAGCGGGTCCCGAGCAGCCTTCTTCGGCAGCCTCTGTGGCAGCCCAGCCCACGTGATCCGGCCGCTGCCGTAAGGCACCGGGCTGCTGTCGGGCCCTGAACCATCTCATGTTTGAGAGAGGGTCGCTTTGGCCTTTTGCTTGGCCCCTCCGATCGGGTAGGGGGCCATTTCATGGTTCACAATAACGCATAAAAAAGGCAGACACGATGTATGAGAATGAAAGTTAGATTAATTTTTACTGTAAATAAATTAAAGTATAAAGAATGGTAAACGGCTCTGTAAATAATTCCTGAAGTGTGACGAGTAGAGAGAGAGGTGGGGGGAGGGAACAGCAGGCGGGAGGGCGTGAGAACAGAACGAGACGACGGCGTCGATGATGGGGCGCGGCCCGGCGGCGCAGCCCCGCACGGCGCACAGGTGTTATCTAGAGTTATCACCATTAGCGTTATCGGCTGCCCCGGCCGCCGTCGCCACGCCCTCCAGGCGCGCAGTGAGGGGTCGCCGACCAGGGCTAGGGTGTGTGCACCAAGGGTGCACCAACTCCTCGCGCGCCGGCGCCGTGGAGGGGGCCCGCCTCAGACTACACCAGCTGCGGCTCAAAGCCCTCGCAGAGCACCCCTGCGGCAGACCCCGCTCCCCCTCGGGTAAGACGTGCTAAGACAACTTGCCCTGGACTTCATGGCGGACGAGCACGCGAAGGTGTCGGGGGAACACAGAACGGAGAGAGCAGCGCGGCGGCGGCGGCGGCAGCGAGGCAGCTAGGCGTTGATTTTAATGACAGCGTGGTTGATGGCTGTGATGGTCATGATGACGACGGAGAGCGGTAGTTTAGTTTGTTGTCGGCGCGACTCTGCTGCACTGCAGCGGCGGCTGGCGGCAGTGTGTACACAGTAGGGCGCCGCGGGGGCGCCGCGCACGATCACCCGCGGCGGCGGTGCGTAAGAAATGGAGAATTACGCGGAGAAACGTAACCTCACATCACACCTCACTCACCCACCACCCCGGGGCTGGGCTGGCGCGCCGTGACTTTGCGGCGCGTTTGCGACCGGCGGCGACCAGAGCCGCCGCACCATCACGCGCCCACCGCGCCGCACCGCGGATGTGACGGCAACCGAACGGCGCGCCGGGCGAAATGTGCGCGTAATAGAACGTGTACATGAGGGGGAAAGCACGAAGTAGGCAGGCCTCGCCGGGCCGCCGCCGCGGGAGTGGGAGAGAGAGAGACACACAGGGGGAAAGGAGGGAGAGAGAGAGACACCGAGAGGGAAAAAAATGCACGCAACAAAATTTGACGTCGCGACGCCACGGCATGCGGCGGCACGCCACGCCTCTCCGCGACGGCGCGAGTTGTCACGTCATATCGGGGGACGCGAAAGTGACGGCGGCACAAACAAGCCGAGGGAGATGGTAGCAGTAGTTGTCGGCGTCGAGAGGGCCAGGACCAGGTGCTTGTCGCGCGCTGCGGGTGGGCGGCACACAGCCTCAGCCGGTCAGAGGTAATTAGCCGTGTGCTGTACTGTCGCGTGTGGCGGCGCGCGGCACCCGCGAGTGCGGAGTGCGCAGCGGCAAACGGTACGGACCGCGCGAGCGGGGGGGGGGGGGGGGGGGAGCGGCGAGCGCTGGGAAAAACAAACGAAACTGGAGCGGCCCGCTGGCCCACTGCCACTGGCCGCCCGCGCCCGCGGCCCGCCCGGCCCGACCTTCACCCGCGCCTGATGGGATTTATTTCTCATACCCGGCCGGGCCTCGTATGGAGCCGGCGGCGGCGCGGGGCGTGGGAGTATGAGTGGCCGCTGGCCGCTGCTGTGGGGTGGGGCCGCACCGGCCGCACCGCCCCGACCTGTCAACCGGAGACAAATCCCCGCTTAAATCACGCCGCGTTTTGGCGTCCCCGCGCCGCGCGTGGGAGCGGGGGCACGGACACGGCAGAGAGCAGGTCGGGGACATCGAGTCCGCGAGCACCGCACCTGAGCAACAGCAACATCAGCTTACTCTTTGTCTCCCATGATTCCCGAAGTACTTGATTCCCAGTGATTCCCGTCCGCTTATATTTATTTCTTAGATTTTCTACCAGTAGAAAATGCCTATTTCGACTACTACCATTTCCATTTCCACAAGTTTCCAGCTTAGTTTAAGCGCGATTTCTGCTGATTTCGATTAATTTTCATCCTGATGATCCCCGAAGTTGTTGCCCCCTCGCATTTCGCTTTTTCCCCTCCTAGTATTGTCCCCTTTTCTCCGATGCAGCCCGGGAAGGACTCTACTACGTTGTGCTCTCTGCTGCAATTGCCATCCAGAAGCGAGTCGGCTATGCCCTGGCCGCGGCGGTGGGCCGCCACAACTTGGCCTGGCGCTGAACAAAACAGAAGTACAGAATACTGTTCAGTCGCGTCCACGCTGGCGGCGCGGTCCGGTTGGTCGGCGGGGACAGTTAAGCCCATTAGCTGAGCTGTGCTGTTTTTGTTGTTCCAGGACGCCGGGCACTCAGACGCGGCCAAGGAACTCGCCAGGCTTCGCAAGGTGAGTAGTCCAGCCGGCCGTTAGCCGTGCGATCAGGCTCCGTCCGCGGCCCTGCGGACATGGCGCACCAGAGGACCATCATCATCATGTCCTTGACCGCATCATGACGCGCATTTCGCGAATGCGAATAATTCGAATTGATGATAAATCCCCCACGAGTGGGAATTTTCATCTACCTGTTCGCATGGCAGCAGAGCAGCACGTGACGTGGTCCTGACGTCCTGACCAGCACAAGCTACACACACATCGCAACACTCGCGCACTGCGTTCAAGTTTCCCGCCGACAGGGCAAAGGCAGTGCTGCATGCTGCATGCATGCAGGCAGGTCCATATCAGAGCCGTAAGTGCACACGCGAGACGGCGGCGGCGCCCCCGGAAGTAGACTCTGGATGTGTGCATCAAAGGGTCGGGGAGGGAGGGGGGAGTAACTCGCGGGTACGGCGCGCCCCTCCACTCTGCACCGCGTCCGCGGGGGCATCCGGCACCGTAAGTAATGTGAATGTGGCCGGTATGATAACTGCTATGTGGGCGCCGCTGTCGCTGCGGCGGCCTCGCGGCCGGCGGGTCACGGCGTCTAGGCGGGGTGGCACTTTAATTGTAGAGTTATAGTCCTTCTTTCTGTGCGGAACAGCGGGGGAAAGGTATGAGAGGAGTAAACCTAGTAAAGCGTTTTCACCATGTGGCCCTGGGAGGGACGTCTCACTGCCCCCAACGACAACTTAAGTGAGGGGGGGGGGGACAATTTATTTGTTCTGCCACCGGCGACGATAATCGTGTCTTTTCGCGTCTCGTGCACATGAGGCGTAGTCCCCCCCCACAGCCC